TTAAAAAGAAGTTTTCAATCAATTAACATTTTAAATAGTTGTCGCTGTGTCTTCTTTCTCATAATTTTAATTCATTTTGAAGCGTTGTTCTTTTTACTTTCGGTGATATGTTGCTGTGAGGAAAGTATAAATAAGCATACAAATAGTTAAAGTCATATTTCATATAATCTCAAGTATCAAACATTGAAAAATGTTTGACAAATACCTAATGCTTAATGGTGAAGCCACTACTAACGATATGTAATATACTCGTTATGAAAATAAGATTTCGTGATACAATGCAAGATAAAATGAACAAAGTCAAACAAAATGCAATACGAATATTACTCTATTGACAAACAATAAGAAATGATGAACTACGAAAATACCTATAAATAAATAATGCAATATAATAAATAAAGTTATATCTAAAATTATCAGCCGAGTTTTATTATTTATGGAACACAGTTTTTGAAAAAGCACAATCCTTCCAATCTGTTCATGACATTTATAGATTGCTTTGTTTTCTTTAAATATCAGATGATAGTATCTATAAGTAGATCATTGTAAGGATAGTAATTCGACAATGAATATTTACTATTTATGAAAAGAGTCAAGAGTTCGATATCAACATTCACTTGTTTGTTCATAGATTAGTTTCGCTCTATTTCAATTCTTTTACAGCTTATTTATAAACTAAAATTCTACTTTATTTTTCATGTTGGGTGTGGGTGAGTGAGGTAGGAAACATCATCCACACCCACACCCACACCCACACCCACACACCAACGGTCGAGCTACATGAAAGAAATATCCAATTAATTAATAAGAAGAAAACCTGTATAGTAAACAATATACTAGGGTCTTCCTCTCATTTGTCGACATGATGTATCTCTAAATAGATCGTATATTCAGCCGTCGATCGTTTGCTCTCATTTAGTCATTTTTACATTCATTTCTATCACAATAGAAAAAAATGCTCTTGAATGAACCATGCATGATCAACTTCTTCTTTTGTTTCGTGAATATGTAGCAGTACAACATGTTTGTGCACATTAAAATCGAGTGTTAGTTCAGGTTTGCTGATAATTATTAAATTTTATTCTAATTTGAGATTTAAGAACAAATGTATTTCACAAGAATATACATTATTCGATCCCCAAGCTATTTCAACACTAGCTCATCCAATTGGACCTAATAAATCATCAAGACAGGAAACATCCAGTGTCGATGAGGGATTGATCGTCAGGATGTGGGTGAGTGGAGCATTCAAGTGGTGGTACGGGAGCTATTCATACTTGAATTGATATTTGAAAAATGAAGTCATAGAGGATAGTTGAAACTTCAAGCTTCAATTGAATTCAACTTTCAAGTTTGACACTATTGTGTTAGGTCACATCATTTTCAAAAACAACCTATGGTTGGCTATAAAATGGCCGCGATATATACGAATCACAGACGTTTTACTTGAATTTTTCTCGAAGACAAGTAACGCTCGTCTGTGGACTTGCTTAGCTGTCTGCTGTAAAAGAATTAGATTATTAATTGATTCAAACCAACCTCAGTTTCGAACTCTCCATCCTTGATTACCATCGATCAAGCTTTCTAGAAACTATTAATCAATTAATAATTAATTAATTATTTAAAACTAATCGCAGATTTCAACTTCCCACCCCCGATTACCTTTGGTCAAGTTTTATACAAAAATATTATTAGTTAATAATTAATTAATTAAGACTAATCGCAGATTTGAACTCTCGGCCCCTGATGACCTTTGGTCAAGTTTTATGCAAAATAATCCCTATTGTTTTCACATTATTTTTGGACCAATCAGTGAGGTACGGACACACAAGCAATCAAGCAAACAATTTATTCTTGCTAGACTCTTCTCTACGAGAAAGAGAATTAGAACATAAATTGTCATATTGTCAAAATGGACTTACTATCAATCTAATTAGGTTAGTCGTATAGGATTTGAAAAATACATAACAATAAAAACCTATCTTGGACTATGCGCATAAAACACATGAGCATCTGCAGCAAGAACATCATGCACTATGGACACATTTTGAGAACTGCACATTTCATGTGTATAAAAAAAATCCTATGTAAGGAAGAGTTGTTTCGAGTTTCAATCACTTTTCAGATCGAACATTTTTCACCTGAGAATATGTTCGACTTGTGAAAATATGTCTACTGCTTTTAATCACCATATTAATGAAATTCTTTCTCTTATGCAGGTAGCTTTCTTGAGATTCTTGGACAAGAAAGTGATGTGCTATGGATAAACCTTGATGTCTGCATAGATCAAGCATACGAAAAAAAGTTCGCCTAGGAAATCATTTTCCGCAATAGTTTAATGCAGCTTTTCTAACCATGTGTTAAAGCAGTGAAGCCTAGACACTAAGTTCTACGAGATTTTCAGGACTAGAGTGAGGATCATGGAGATTAGATATGAATTTCGTGAATGTCATTTGTGATTATAAAAATTCCAAGAATCCACGGGAATCCCGAAAATCCCACAGGAATCCGGGGTTTCCATAGATTCTCGGAATTCCATAGATTCCCGTAGGATTACCGGAATCCCGGGAATCCTATGGGAATCCAGAATCCGCCGTTTCCCCCTTGATTATAACAGAGTATAATGAGTTCTCGAACTCAAGTGATAGCAGGTATGGACGAGTCCGAGTCAAAAATCGAACTCGAGTCGACTCGAGTCGCATTTTTTTGGTGACTCTGACTTTACTCGAACTCGAAGATTGGGAGACGTTGACTCGACTGTTTGACTCGAGTCTTTTACTCAAAAAAGTTTTCCTTTACTCTTACAAAAAAAAAATACAAATTTATAAAATTAAATTATCATTTATTTCATAACTTTCGTTCTAATTGAATATATTGCATAAAAATAATTTTTCAAGAGCTTTTTCCTACCTATGTATTCATATGGTCGTTAATAATAGTCCTGCTAAATAGAATCATACGTGCTTCTGCTATATCAGCACTAGTTGAACGTGTGTTTTCTCAAAGCNAAAAATTTTGCTGGGGACTAGAGAGTACCCCTCCGAGGAAATATTATACCCATACTCAGTTTTTTGAGCTCTTTCGAATGATGTATTTTTTATCAACTCTGCACGAGAAAATTTTTTTTCGACCAGTTGATATGTTTTTTTCTTAGATACGATTTATAGAGTAGTGTGGTGTTATTATTGGCTTTCCTCGTGCATTTAATTGTTTTTATTAATTAATAAATCATTGTTTTGATAAGATATATTCATGTTTGATAGACAATTGATGTATAATTTTATTTTATTCAGTAACATTTTTGACTTCATAGGATGTTATTATGAATTTGATTAATATTCTGGAGTTGAATTTTACAAAGTTTCGTCATACAAATAATAATAAAAAATCTTAATTTAGAATAAACATTTTCTAAATAAATAATGAAACGATTCATATTTCAAAAAAAAAAAGAAATTGTGTATGTCAAATAAATAATTTCGTTATATTTATAAATATCTTTAATAGAACAAGAAATTGTTGTTTTCTAACGAAAGAACATCAATATTCTTTTTCCATCAATGATTCAGTAAAATTTTATGAGTAGTGTACATATGACTGTTTTGTAATTATGAAATATTCATTGATAATATATGTTGTATATAGTGATAACAGCGTACAATACATTTGACCAAAATGTCAAGCCTATGTCTTGTAATTAATTTTCTTAATATCAAATCCAAGGGGGAAACAGCGGACTTTTGGACTTGAAGCTACTTTGAGCTACTTCAAGCTACTTCAAGCTACTTCAAGTTACTTTCAGCTACTTCAAGTAGCTTACTTTGAAGTACTTTTCAACATCAAATTTACTTCAAGTCACTTGAAGTTACTTTAAGCTACTTGTTCCTACTTTGCGCTACTTGGGTGGTACTTTGATCTACTTCAAGTAGTCTACTTTGACATACTTTAGCGTACTTTTCAACTTCAAGTACGCTGGTTCCCCCTTGATCAAATCACTCGTTCTAGGTTTTCTATGCCATCTACATGCAATTAATCTTCAGACAATAGTTTATAAATGTATTTAAAAACAAAATTTATTATCATAGATAGCTATTAATATCTATAATTACTAATCATTCACGTTGCATTGTATGAATTGCGATCATAACAAATGATTGTTTAATAGCTAATCATCGATTTTATCTAATTAGAATAACATCGTTTATATTACGAAAAGAAAAAGTTTTTTCTTTAAAAATTGAGCTATTCCTATATAGTATTCAAATACTTTTTTTCTTTGCTATCGATTAATCGTGATTTCGTCTATATGTGTAATATTTACAAGAGAAACCTTTATGCTTTCCGTTTGACGCTTTAGAATGTCCCTTGCTTTTTTTTTCTGTTCTCTTGTCTTTCTTTTATTTTATTTTTCTCTCGTTCGTTCTTTCTTCTTCATTCTCTTTTCATCATTTTGCTTTATACTTCCTTGCGTTAGTCTAACTTTGTTTCATATTCAATGACAATTCCTTATTCTTCTTAGTGAATACAATCATTATTATTATTATTAATATTATGGCTTCAGCTCGAAATCTTTGTCAACATTCAGATATAGATGGTATTCAATGTACATCAAATGATTATATACTTTGTCCACATTGTCAATTACAATTATGTCTTAAACATTTAAATTATCATCAAGAGTTTACTTCGTAGAGATTTATATATTTTATCTGATAATATAAATCATGTTCGTTTTAATCTTGATAATTTAATATTTGATTCAACAAATCATCGTCAAGAATTATTTCAAAAATTAGATGATTGGTATAATGAACGAATTAATTTAATAAATAAAATTTATAATGAAAAAAAAACAACAATTACAAATATTATGTTTACAAGCACATATAGAATTTGATACATATAAAACAAAAAAAGATAAACAATTAAAAAACAATTTAATAAAATAATTAAAAAAAGTTATTAAACAAAAACAAATAAATATTGATGATTTAAATGAAATGAAAAATATATTAGATGATATTGAAAAAGATTTAGATGAACTTAAACAATTACTTATTGATATTTATCCTGATAATACAACAATGGATATTCATATTATTAAAAGACGTTATGTTGAAGCAGCAAAGCTTTGAAAATTAAAACAAATATTCACTTAGAATTTTTCATAAAATCAATCTTCATCATATAAACTTATTACATAGCATGTGAAGTTCGTTGAGGAAAAAAAAACTGAAATTTAATTACTAAATTTTATAAAACAACAAATCAAATATTCTTTTTCTTTTAAATTAGAAAACAAATATATATATTTACAAAATACTTGGACGTTTTTTATTGTTCTGTTAAATGACTAGAAACTTTTTTGTTCAACCTGAAAATTGTATTATATTTGTTTGAATAATATTTAAAAAATGGATTGATTTCTCTTCTTCATTATCCACTATTGTCTAGATAAATATCTATTTTTTGTTTTTTGGCTTGTTTAATCGTAAAAATAAAAAACATATTTTCATTTTAGTCAGCATTTAACGATGATGATGATGATGATAATCTATGGGATACAGATGATGAAAATGAATTTGATGATAAAACAAAATCATCTGATGATATTCAAAATTTTGAAGAATTAACTAATTCTACTCAAAATCTTCTACCTATATCTGATATTATTTCATTATCATCATCGATATCTTCTCCACCTACTATTTCTTCTTGTTCATCATCATCAATCACAATTACTAAAAAAGCACCACTAAAATTTGTTATCAAACGATTACAACAACCACCAACATCGACTAAAATTAAATATGAATTACATACAGTAACAACATCATCAGCATTAAGAACATGAAACAATACAACAACAACAAAAAATGTTTATATTTTGTGTTGATTTATTTTCAATGTTATTTTCTAGAAAACGAAATAAGAAAAAAAATGATTTCTAATCTCTTTTTGTTTCTTTGTTTTTTTCATCGATATATTTATTCGAATATTTCTATTAATATATTAAATAATAGTGAATTATCAAAAATCATTTAATATTATTAATTGATTTTTTAAATACAATATATATTGTATATAAAAGAAAAACCTACAATATAAATATATATATAATTCATATGGTTTATTATTAAATTGAGCAAGGTCATAATATCAAATTTTGTTTTTTTTTTTTGTTCGAAGTCCATCGAATATTTTATCAACGGTATTTCGACATGCACTGAGAATATTTGATGAGTGCGAAAGCAAATACACGTCATCAAAAAAAAAAGATATATCATAATATGACGGTTTTTTCCCTGTTCTGTAGTATTCTGAGAAAAAAGTGACTGTTCGGAAATCATACGATTCAAGAAGAATCTAAAAGTATAAATGTGTCAAAATGTTGTCCTCTTTCTAGAGCACTTCCCAACTAGACCTTGATAGAAAAAAGTGATGACCGGGAAGAGGGTAGCGCGGAAACCTTTACTCCTATCTCCCCTTGGCAGTGAATCAAATCTCAAAAAAAGGATAAAATTGTCGGGCCGAGCGGTCCGACAAAATATTTGGTTGGGCTGGCCCGTTTGAAGGTCTGTTTCCAACGTGTTAAAGACTTCGTTTGTTGACTCATTCAATAGAGAATTTCCTGCTGTACAAAACTGTTGTATTTGTTAGCGCAAAACTTAAAAAAATGAATACCTACTCAAGCGTCTAGTTGCAACGGACGAAAAATATTTCACAAAGATTTCGATGAAATTTCAAAAATACAGCAAAGTTTTCTAACAAATTCTATATTTCGGAATTTTTGGAAGAAATATATGCGAGAAAATTTTTTTTCAGTAAAGAATCCTTTTCTAGCAGAATTACGAATGTAATGCTCTTCGCCGAAAACCATTTCATCGAAAGATTCACAAGACACTTTAGACTGTTATGAGCCCTTTAATTCTTATAGAGGCTTGTTAAGCATGAAGAGGTCAACTCATTTTGCCCTCACCCTCACCTTTGAAACGTCCTCCATGGTCGAAAAAATATTTTCGATGAGGTGTTTTTCGGTGAAGAGCATACATACTTTTGAATTGTATAGTTTTGTCATATTCGTTTTGATATCAGCTGGTTAGATGTTTAGTATTTTTGCGCAGAAGATCTGATTGTGCATAGCTTTAGAGATAAATTTGATATTATTCTATTCAAATTTATTTCAGAATTATCATTCTTGTATTAGACATCAACACAACGAAACAAAAAGTAAAAACTTCTATGTTGAAACTAAAATTTTGTACTTGCTACAAATATGGACTCAAGAATTATATAGCTAGTTTTTTAGCGAAATAGTAAAGAAACCTTTAAAAAAATCTAACAAAAAGTAGTTTGGACGGAAAAGAATGAGCCAATTAGTGCCGATAATGATAAACTTCGACGCTAAACAAAGATTAAGACGTCTTTTCTTGTCTTATTGGCTGAAGACATCTACACGAATACCAGAAGGTATGCAGTTCGAATTCCACAAAAAGTATCTTGTTTCTTCTTTCTGTCTGTCCATATATATTCTCTTACGTAATAGCCTGTTATGACTCGTAAATCATTTTTATGGACCATAGCTTATTAACTATTAGATCGCTGAAAAATATTTCAGAGAAGTTAAAATCTATGGGCTTGAATTCGAAATATCATATTCTCTTTGAACTTTATGATTGTTTTTTATTCAAGAGAGTAACAATAAAACGTATTATCATGTGTCAACTTCTTTTTTTTTTAGTATACTCAAAAAGTGAGTGCACTACTATAATCGGTCAGTGTGTCCGTCCGGCCGTCCGGCCGTTTACACGATAACTTTCGAAAGAAGAGTTAGATCGAGATGAAACTTTCTACATAGTTCAGTCTTTACAATATCTCGGTTGAGAGAAGAACGATGAGAATGATCTGTGAAGAAATGACTGAGTTATCGCAAAAATTGTGAGTTTTGTCCAGACCATCCCTGACGGGGGGTTAAGGGGATTTTTCGAAAAAAGTTTTTTTCATAATTCTTCACTCGATAGATAAATCGACTCAGTTTTTAACGCTGATTAGAAGTCTGATATTATTTTTCAACTGAATCGTAGTTTTTAATGTAATGTTTTCCATAGCCTCATGAGCTCATAATTCGAGTTCTTTTATCGGATTAGAAATATGCTACTTCGAGTTTCTCTGGGTCAGAGAGCTTAAATCTGCACTCGATTTGCTTCAAAGGTGCATCAGTTGATCAGTAACCATTTGAATAAACTTGTGACAAAAAATGGATCTCTTAGAATAATTAAAGGCAAGGAGGTCGAATGTGAGTTCTATTCTACTCTAAACCTTTGTCGAGGTGCAAGAATAAATAGAAGTCGTGTTTATAGAAAAGATGTCTGATGATAATGTTGCTGCCGATTCTTTCTCGAATGATTGAATGTGCCTCATTCACTTTTTGTAGTACACTTAACCTTCGGATAAAATCCGAAGTTTCCGCATTTATTTTAACATTAATAATTGGTAACGACTGCGCATTTTATATACCTTTGAAAGTATTTGAGAAACGAGAATAATAGCAACAAAAATATTAAACACTTAATAGATATATGAGGTAAAAGATATTTTCGAGAAAATAACAAATCTGAGAAATTTTATTTTATAGGATAATATAAGTAAAGTTTATATTACAAAATAATGTTATNCATTTTGTAGTTCTTGAAATTCTCTATCGAATGGTATATAATAGTTGGGGTTTTAATTGACTATGATAGGAAAAGTCTTTTACGAAAGTCGCGATGGGTCCATTTTTCCACAGAAAGCTATAGGGAAAAATGAGTATTTTTACAATAACTCAGGAACGGATCGACCGGTCCTTCTCATCTTCGAACTCGACTGAGGTATTGTCAAGACTAAGCTGTGTAGAAAATTTCATCGCAATCTGACTCTCCTTTCGAAAATTATCGTGTAAACGGCCGGACGGACACACAGACCGATTTTAGTAGTGTACTCACTTTTTGAGTACACTGAAAAATGCTTGCAAATCGTCATTTTTTATGGATAGTTTCATAGATAGTCAACCGTAAAAAAGATACAAAGTTCTCCGAAGACTTTTTCGTTGGTATAACTTTGTTGAGGTCGTTGTGCTGACCTTTTTTGATAAACAAAAAAAAATTTCATCTTACGTAAGAACGATAAGCCTGTATTTTTTTTTTTACTTGACAAGATATCAAATTTCTTTTGAATAGTCAATAATAGTTGTATTTGTTTGCATTATCTGTATTAAAACAAAAAACTTCATTCATTTCAATGAATCGAAGTGGATATATTTTAGTTTTTCATCGAAATATTATTTATGGCCCACTCCGTAGAATATATTTACCGTTGCTATTTGATTTTGTGTATCTGTTGCTGGCATTGTTGTTTCATCATCATCATCTAAACTAACAACTTCAGTTTGTTGTTTATCATTATTATTTTGATCTTTTGTTTGTTGTAATCCATCTTGTGCTGCTTCATCAAGATCAAGATCAAGATCAAGTTCAATAATTTCAATTGGATCATCATATGTAGAAGGTGAAAAACGAACAGTACGTTTTGATGGTGATTGAACGGATGTAGTTGGTGCTGAAGATGTTTCTTTTCGAGCTTTTTGTTTAGCACGACGTTCCCATGCAATATCAAATTCTTCATCTGATGAATCATTATTATTATTATTATTATTATCAAAATATACAGATGGTTTAGATTTTTCTGTAGACGTTGTTGATACTGATTGATTTATTGTAGTTGAACTAAAAATTTCATTTGTTCTTTTGTTTCAAAAGAAAAAGAAAAATTTTACTTTGTAGATGGTTGTTCATCATTTGATTGTTCATTATTAGTTGATGTTAAACTAACTTGTGAAGTTGTTCGTTTTGGTCCAAATGGTTTCCATGAAAGATCACTTTCATCTTCTTCAACATAATCCATACCTAAGTGTGTTTCAGTATGTTCAATATTTGTAAATGATCTTGAACGTTTAAATGCATCGATTTGTGATCGTCGTTTAGCACCAGGCAGAGTTGAAGTACCTAATAATTGCAATGCTATTGGCTGTGATGCTTTACGTTTTATTGCATCAGTTGATAGAGCTGGTGTGCGTGGTGCTTGTCTTTGTCCTGGATGTATTCTTTCACGTGGTTTTACACGAATTCGTGGTCGTTTGTCATCATCAATATGTTGTTCAAGTGATGAATATGTTGGTGAACGACGTAATGCTTCAAGAATTTCTTCACGAAGATTTTCTGCATCACAATTTGTTGTTGGATTATATGTTAATGCATCACAGATATCATGTATACGACCAAGTTCACGATCCAATTTTCGTTTATAATCATCTAAATCATCATGAATTTGATCAATTGTTTGACGATTGATAATATTATTATTATTTGCTTGTAAAGCTTTACATGATTGTTTCATAATATTACTTTTTAAATCACGTGTCCATTTAAGTAATTGATCAAGTTTAGCACGTAAAGTTTTTTGTTCATTTGAATAAGCACGAAAACATCCAGGAGTTCGACTTGATGTTGTTTTCATTGTTTATAGGTTCGAAATAAGAACTAAAATAATAACGAATTTTTTTTCCTAATGTTTCAATCAAATAAAAAAATGATTGAATAATAATGTAGTGAATAAGATTAAATGATTGAACCAATGAACAATGCGAAGTATATCCTTATAATGAAGTTTCAATAAATAAAAAGAATTATATCTATTTAACAATTTGAAACAAGTTTTTGAGACAAAATATCAAAAGAAATTTAAATCTTTAAGATTTTTCAAGAGAAAAGTTTGTATGATGAGCAACGACATCTATTGAAATCTGAATTATCTTTTTTCTTTTATTTAAAGCATTCAAATAAAAAGTATATGATCTGAAATACAAAACATCTTGCAAAAGAATTTCATGCAGAACGACAAGATATTAAAATAGAATCTAGGTCAATAATTCTAGCGCTCGAATGCGTGAATATCCGGCAGGTTTCCACAAGAAAAGTTGGGAAAATAGTAGGAATCCGATCAACATCTTCCAGTCTTTCAGTGCCAACTGTTTTTCCTAGCTTTTTGACCGGAAAACGGCTTGTACTTCTTGAGCTGAAGAATAGTCCCTTTTCGTTATATTATTGTTCTGAAAACATATGTTATTTTTAGAATTATTTTATTTTGGATACAAAGAAGGACTTTTGAGTTTTTTCTCGTTTACTTGTTGTGTCGTATGCACACACAAATAATTCATTGTATCAAACAATAATTCATAAATTCTTCATTCTTTGGTTGAAATTTATACATTGATGTTTTGCCGGATAAAATAATATGCTAAGATTAGAGATGTACAGATCTAAGTTTATTTTTGTATCGGTTTCTAGCTGGTCTCCATAAATTCTTTTGTATTCATCCTGATCATAGTTCTGTTAAATCTGGTTTGGAATGTATTCGTATTGAATCTAAAAGATATCTTGAATCTTTATATCAGATGATTTACGATATAAATCGCTAAAACCATAGAAAAAATTACAATTTGTTTTGTAGTCTTAGAAATGAGCCTGAAGCAAAAATTGATCTTGAATATTCGTATTCGTCGCTAAGTCATATTTTCTTCTTTCATTTCAGTTGAAGACATTGAAATAGAAATATTTTGATTGTATGGCATTATGCTTAACAAATCTTGCTATAGAAGTATATAAATCCAATGACATTCGCTGACCAAAATCGTTTTTTAATATACTTGTTTAGTGTCATGTATGTTAATTATACTGATTTGCAAAGAGTTAAGACATTATCTTGATAGTTAGAACGAATGAAACATGAGCCTAGTTTACCAATCGTGAGATTTTCAAATGTTGATTCTCATTGAATAGCCATTTGTCTTGTCTTCGTTTTTTTATTTATAGATGTTCTTTGTTTTACCTAAATCTCAAAATAATCACAGTTACAATTGAAGAGCAACCTTTTCACTACACTTATCCGACATGTCATTATATTAGCATAGATTTTCCTATGCAACGATAATAACAGATTACTTAGGTCGAGCCTTCTGATGAATATAATCATGATGATAAATGATTATATTTTTAACTTCTAATGAATATATTGTTTTATTAACGAACGGTTCTTTGTTTTTTTTTGCTACATAAAATGACAGATTATATCGAAATGAAAAGTTTAATGAAATATATTAATTAGCGTAACGAGCCAGTCCTGGTGTAATTGTATGGACCACTGTTTGAAACACAATTATTTGTTTCATTTTCTTTCTAATTTCAGGTAAGGAACCAAGACAAACAAAAGGCATTAAAAGTGAAACAAAATGATATAGATAATAAGTATAAAGTTCAAATTGTCCAGTTGAACCATCTGGTAAACCGCATACATGAGCTAAAACAAGACTGGTCATAGGCAAATTAAAAAGAAGAAACAATGCTGCTATTGATAAAAGTTGTATAGCCATTTTTCGATATCTACGCCATTGAAAATGTCTATGATGATTGGACTTTTGTTGAATAACACGAATAATTAATGCAATACTAAATATAGCAATAATTGGTGTTGGTATTATTGAATTAATTATTGTATCATACATGGCAAGATCTTCATTATTATAATAACATGGATAAAGACACCAATCTAGTTCATATGCATACATATTTTCACATGTATACATTAAAAGAATCATAATATAATAAATAAAACCATAGAGAACAATTGTTAAAAGTGGCAGATAATGAAAAAATATACGTTTTCTTTTTGTTGATAACAATCTATCATGAAATACTAAAATATGTCGTTCAATTGAGGCCCATGCCATAATAATATTTGTTAAATTAGAAATACCTGTTGCTGCAAACCACCATATAAGACAACTGATTGTTATTGGAGGCCAAACATAATTTATACGTAAATAATTAAGATAAAATGGTATATCAATTAATTGAGAAAAAAGTCCAATAATAAGTAGAACTATAATAACATGATTGCTTAATGATTGTCGTAAATCATGATCAATTAATAAATAATAAAGAAGTATTAATGAACAAGTCAAAGATGGAACTTCAAAAATCATAAGTAACCAAAAACGAACAACTTCAGGTAATAAAAGTTTTGGATAATCATAAGATTGTGTTTGATTGTCATTATTGGTTTGTGAATGATTTCCATCAAAATAATTTTCACTCATCATAAATTGTCGACACAACTATTCTCTTTCAGATATGATTAAGTCTAAATATATAGTTTGACTATGGTGAATCGGTTATAAAAGTAGATTAAAGAGAATTTTTCTTCTTTTTTCTCTCTCTATTATATGCTCATAAAAGATTTACAAGAAAAAAAAAAGTTCTCATTATTTCTTTTTTTTTTCCTTAACTTGCATATTATTCGAAAGTGATCATGCAAAAATCAAATGTTACATACGTAATTGTTCTTAATTCTAGATAAATGCATCTTTATATTCTTATTAACAATAAGAAGTTGAAAAGTTCTCTAGGGCTTTAAACAAAAAACATAGTTAACTTAAGATAGTGCAGAATCTACAAATGTTCACAATTAGGACCTAGTTACATTAAGAGAGCTATAGAGTAAATGTGCATAATTTTTTGATTTCTAGTTAATCTCTGAATGTTCTGAGAAGAAGAAATGAAGGATCTTTATTTATTGTATTAATAACATGGATTACTTTTAACTGTTCTCTACATCTTAATTTATCTTTTATCAATATATGGTGAAGCTTCTTCTGTCAATACCTCAGTTATATTACAATGAAAATGTCACTTTTATCTTTTCTCTAGGAAATTAAAGATGAAAACATGATAGACTACATTAATGAGAGACCATTGCCAGTTACAAACTTTCTTTTATGTCAAGATCATACTTATCGTTTGTGATTTATGAGATATCTAGGTTTTTATTAAATGTCTTTTGAAAAACTTTACATTTGCAGCAAACACATATTTTCGAATTGTAACTTGAGACTTTGTTGACATAGAGATTTCAAATAAAGTGTACTGCAAAAATTTAAGACACTTTTAATATTTTGATGATTATATCATTATCAAAAACTAAAGATCATTTTCAAAAATATTATTTGTTATGATAATTTAATGTTATTAATTACAAACTAGAGAAATGTTTTGTTACAAATTTTGATCTTCAAGTATTTCATTCGAAAGAACATTGAAAACTGAATAATACTGTGTAGTAGGGATGCAACGGTGAGACTAACGTTGAAGCCGGTGAATATATGAAGAACGGTCAATCAGTACTCCTGACTTCTCTTAACCGAAAAACGTGTGAATAAAGGAAAAAATCGGTCATCACCGTAGGTTCCTGATTTTTTCATAAGCTTTGCCGGTCTTAACGATAACGCTAGAAAGTGCATCCCTAAATACAGTCATTTTATATTCGATCGCTAATTTTACCAATGGTTTTTCGTTAGTTTTCACTTGCTCCTTATCTGAATATTTTCAGAGTGTTATATCTGACAAATGAACACTACACACAAAAGTACAAGACCTCATTTGACAAAACAAGATATACTCTACAAAATGAACTATTTTGTAAAGTTCTTAAATATATGCTTAGAACTCATCCTGCTTAAGCAGTAATAGAATGTTAAACGATTATAAGCAAAGTGAGACGCCTATGATTTCTCCATGACATTCCTTCATCGAAGTACATTCAATTTACAGAATGCTCGAGAAGTATTTTTTCTGCTTCTGTTGAAAATTTCAAGGTTTTTGCCATATTCGACTGTTTGGCGTCTTCTGTTAATTGAATGCAATTCAATGAACGAAGGTCATGGAGAGATTGGAGACGTCTAACCTTACTCGGAATCATTTGTTCTATCAAGTAAAATCTTTTCACAAAAGTTTCGAACGGAAGCCAGAAAGCTGATTTTGAGGATCTTGATTTTCCGCTGGTCTCACCCAAGAAAGTTTATTAGACTCTTCAAGTCTACCAATTCTGATAGAGAACTTTTCCAGCTATATAATTGTTTTGTCAAATTCTTACTAGCTATTATCATCGAGAAGAAAACTTAAAAATATAACGGCCTAAACTGTTGCCACCACTATATGTTTAAAGTTCGAAATTTATAACAAAACATTTCTCTAGTTAGTAATTAATAAAATTTTTATTATAAAATGTAGCCCGTTTAATTCTACATATAATGATATATTTTTGAAAATTCTCTCTTTTTTGATAACCCTATAATTGTCAACATACTAAAAGTATCTTAAAACTTTGATTGCTAGATAAAACTAGAATTTTCTTCTTTTTCTTAACGCTACCATCAATTAGATCAAGAATAAGTAGGTTGTGTAAAGCGTAATTCTAATTGTTTATGCCACTTAAAATATGTCTTTTAGACCCTTTCTTTTTATAGTAAAATACCGATACTAATAGTGCCATTTTCAGGTTGCTTATGCTTACGACACTGTTTTCGTGAACCTGGGAAGTGCATATTATGTCCTTTTAATCGGGATAAAAATTAGAATTTAGCTTTAAATGTAGAAAAGTTTATTTTATATTTTTGCGTTTAATTCTAAACATAATCTACTTAAGTTTAATTTGGCTTAGGATATATGTATTATATAAAGTTATTTAGAAAGTAATTGATTACATAAGCGATATTCGAAATATTCAAAGAGTTTATTAATCTAACGTAATAAGATCATGACTTTTTTTCTTCAAAAATAAACAAAGTTCATTACTTTAATGATCATAAGTAATCATTTTATTGACTAATTTGTCAGATGAATTTTAGAAAACATCTTTCTTCAAAGAATATTTTTTAATATAAACAATTTTCAATGATATTAATAAATTGTATATATATATAAATCAAGCATATTTCATTTTTTTCACTGTCAACAAAAGATTGTTTTCTTTTTTCAACAACACAAGCCACTAATTGTATAAATGCATTTGAAAAATATATTGTTCAGTGACACGAACAAATACAAGAATAGATGTGTGCAAAAAAAATGAATTCATTTCTTCTTGGAGGGACAACAAAAGAGCATGATTCATGTTTAAAATTTAATGTTTCTATCAGCAGTTCATCAAGGTCTCATATAAAAATAATAATAAAAAAAAGATGAGTGAGCATAGGAAGACATTTGGACCTCTTTCAATTTTTGACAAACTATCTAATTGAGTCATATATAGAATGAAAGATCATACCCTTCTGATTATTTTGATGCTAAAATACGTGTCAACAGTACAGAGACGGGTACTAGACAACAATCATTCAAAGTTATTGTGTCACGACTTTTTTCAGGCTACATTTTCATAATAGAATCATTCTCTGAAAATAATACTTTCAATTTACTGGATCGTATACAAATCTTCCATTGTTTACATATTAAATCTGATATACTTACTGTAATTCCTTGTGTTTTTTAATTGTTGTGTTATTGAAACCTTTTCCACACTTGATTCACTAAGTGACCGAGAAGAATTTTTCAAACGCTAGAAACAGAACTAATTTGTATGTGGAAAAAAGTGAACCATACAACAAAATCTAAAGTACAGTATTCATGAAGCTTAATTTTTTATTATTTCGACTAACACTTAACGGTTTTCAAGCAGAAAAATACCTATTTGACTTCAAACAAATATCATATTTGGAATTAACAGACAAAATTTAGTCAACTTATTGATGTTTCAAAATATTTCTGTGACTTTTTTCTAATGAAATTTCCATTATTGGTCACCCTCCACAGCAATATATGAAAAAATGAATTTAATCAAAATAGCAACTTTACTGTCTAGTTTTCTGTTTTTTTTTTGTTTTTCAATAGCATTTTGGAAGTTTAGAAGTTGCTTTCCACTGTCGCAGTAACTTTTTTATGAACCCGTTTTTTTACATATTCCTGAGGGGGACCAGAGGTGAAAATTTTCGTCAGAAAAAGTTCGAAACACTCAGAAGTTGACTTAATTTGGTCTGTTGATTCCAAATATCGTATTTGTTTGAAGTCATTTAGGTATTTTTCTATTTGAAAATCGTTAAATGTTAGTCGAAAAAGTTAAAAAAACTGGGTTTCATAAGTACTATACTTACGATTTTGTTGTGGAGTACAATTTTTTGGACCATACACATTAGTTGTTTTTTTAGCGTCTGAAAAACTCTTATCGATCACGTAGTGAATTAAGTATCATAGAAATTTCATTAACACAATAATTAAACAACAAAATGAAATACACTTAAGCATATCAAATTCAATATTTAAACAATGGAAATTTGTATACGGTCTAGTAAATTGAAAGTATTATTTTAAATGATGGGTTCTGTTATGAAAATGTAGTTTGGTAAAAATCCTAATAGGATAACTTTGAATCACTGCTGTCTATTATTAGTAACTGATTGCCCTACGTCCTCTTCTATATTTCGTAAAGATAGACCCTGTTGATACATATAACTGAATCAAAATGGGTCAGAAGCTCATGATCTTTTATTCTATATATGACTCAAATAGATAGTGTATCCAAAATCGAATGAGATCGAAATATGTTCCTGTGCGCCCGTGTCTTTAAATTATCTATGAAAGTTATAAATAAAATGATATAGTTATTATTATTCAACAGTAATGTATTATAATATTTGTTTGATTTACAACAATCAAATATAGAACATTGAAAGATTCCTATAAAACAAATTGCAAGAAAGGGAAAAGCATACTTCTAAAATAGAGAAGTACCGAAAAGTATAGAAATGTTTACAGAAAGATAAGACACTTTTTGTTAGCTTAAGATATTTATTAAAAAGCAAAAATAAATAATATCATAAGAAAATAGACAGCATTAAATATGTCATTGTCGGTTAGAAAACGACGAAAATATATGTCATAAAAACTCTATTTTGTTTCATTTTTTTTTCTATTTCTTATCAATCATCGTTTATTTCGATTCATTTCGTATGTCACTTTTACATTACCTGTTTTATTACCACGCACTGATATTGTTATTTTTCATGCATATTAGTGTTTATTTCTGTCAGGTATTCAATATGATTTTTTCATGTTTATCATAGTTGAAATAATTACTAGTTAGTTCTCTTTCTACTTATGTTTTCTGATATTACAAAGTGAAACATCGTGATATTTTTTTCTTTTTAAACATTTTTAATACAACTAAAGAAGATAGTAAAAAGGAGATTGATATTTCGTCTTCTATTTTAAG